TGATTGATTGATTGATTGATTGATTGATTGATTGATTGATTGATTGACGGACTGATTAATTGATCGATCGATCGATCGATCGATAGATTGGGTGATTGAATAACTGACTGACTGACTGATCGATCAGGGTGGTAAAGGAGGGGTCCCAATCACGAATCACGGGCCTATTTTCCTTCAAATCACGAATCACGTACGTTTTTCAGAGTGTTTCACGAATCACGTATTAAACTTGTTTCGTTGAATAAATTATGGTTTAACTGATCCGTTCATTTGCGTGGTATTCTGTTTTTAATAGCCTAGTATAGCAAGACAATTCACTCAGGTGGACTAACTTCGCCAAAATAGCCGGAAAACGAATAAATCGAGCCAAGAGTAGGCGTTCTCTACAGATAATCAGTCGTAATATTAGCCATTTCAAAAATGAAACAATGATAAGGTGACACCACAAATTTTCACCGGCTCATAGCGGGGCAATATTTCTTCTAAGGTCGTGCACTCTTCATTTTACTAAACTAGTCTTATCGTCATGAATAGGAAGACAGCGCTCTGTTCGACAAGGTGATTGCCCTCCCAGAACGAGTGCGAATTGTTTTTGAAAGGAAGTTTACATCAACGTCATTGATTTCTACTTCTCTCAAAGGCTCTCCATCTCCTCTTGCATCTTCTTCTTCATCTGATGCAGAATCATACTCTGATTCTTGCGCAGCTGTCTCAAAGTTATCACTGTTGATATCGGTGTTACGTTGAGCGGTTTCAGATACCGCTGGGCCCGGAATCCTTTCCCCAATTGGCAAGTCTTTCTGGTACATGTTCAACGGGAGAGTTCCGGTGGCATGCTTTGTGTTTTTCTGCCGGACGGTAAGTTGCCTTACCGCCTTGCCGTGTTCGTGGGCCCACCTCCTCATTGTGGCTTTATCACTTTCCGACATCTTATTCGCAGGCAACTGCCTCATTTTAGGGACATCACTTAGAGAAATGCTATTTTGTGGAACGGGGTAATATTACTCTGGATGGGTAAAATAGTACGCTGACCAACAGGATGTACGCTTCAGTGATTCATGAGTCGTGTTTCCGAAATAAATTGCGGATTCTAAAACGGTACGTGTGGGATGCTTAAAATGACTCACGGCGTGGAAATTCTCAACTTGCAGTGTAAGACAGACTTCAGGGTTTAGCTCGAAGTCCGGATTCACTTCACGCAAATTGTTATGAAGTTCTTCTAAGCCTTTCTCGACAAGTGCAGTTGACTTCACAGTTTTCGAGGCAACAGTACCGTCAGGTCCGTTCGTTGTCCTATCCGAGTTCAAGACTGCCTGTACTTCAGAAACTGTGGACTATACATAGGCAGAAACATCCTTCACCATTTGATGTGCCTCTTGAATTGTGTACTCCTCTCTTGGTTGATGCTTTAAATAGACTGAAAATGCACGATTGAACTTGCCGAGATTTTCTAGAAATTCGATTGTGCCTCTGATCGTCGTCACAAGTTTTACAGTGCCGATCTGACCATCAGTTACAAAGATGTTGGGGCACTCTGTGCACAAGCCCATTGGTTGTCCAAATGAAGCGTGGCTTCCAGATCCATTTCTGTTGCTTTCGACCCCTGTACCAGCAATTACCACAACATCGCCACCCCGTGCAAGCAATTTTACTTGTCTGCTGTCTTGATCAGTAAAAGCAATTCTGCCGTTTGGCAAAGGAGCAACTGAGGGAATAACCTTACACTCTTGACTATTGTTCCTGACAATGTTTTCACGCATAACGCTAGCTGCCAAGCTGAACTTTGCAAGACCCGTTTCATGTGCCAAGAAAAGAAAGTTATTAGAGAAGCACATGCTATGGACACTTTCACACCCCTCTGGATATTGGCATATTGCGACTACTTTACCGCAAAGGTAGTGCCCATTTGACTGGATTGCAAAGGAGAACACTTGTTTTGAAGAGTCGCAAGAACATGCAAGCATGTCATCACTGAGCCTGCAAATACTTGAGGGTTTTATTTCCTTATCTAAGGAAACCGTCCCGAAATCCTTTCCTTGACTCTGATAGGACTCTTTTTCTTTCTGAAGTTCAAATTGTAGTCTTTCTTTAAGCTCCTTTACTGTTCCTGTACACGATAGCACTCTCTTGCCCAATTCATCAACCAAAGATGCGCGATCTTTCAGTCGCGAGGGTCTCAATGTGATCGTGTCTTCCAAGTCAATTATCTTCAAAGCTCCTGTATCAACCTGACAAATTATCACTGTGCCCGTGCCATTAAGATAGCAAAGAGATCGAGCCTCTTGTAAGTCGGATTTCAGAATCTTAACTCGCACTGGGTTGTGCAGGTCAGCTTTTACGAGCCGGCAATTGGATTTCAAAGGGTTGTAGTCCAAGAACAGCAGTTTCCCATGTTGCCCACACGTTATGGCGACTGGATGAGGAAACATGTTACCAGCCTTGTTGGTTTCTGAAAAGCGGTACTTTTCAGGAATGATTTGGTGGACAACGTAATCGACCTCTTTTAAAGTGTTAATAACCTCAGGACTAGAAAGCCTTAGTAGCGGATCGACAGCCATGCGATCTTTATTTTGCACGTCATCGGCTTTCAGAAACCTTCGTAAGCGCTTTCGAATGTCTTCATTGCTTTTCCCTAGACCTTTGCTAACTGCGATGTCCGCGAGGCCCGTAAACTGCATAAGGTGGTGTTTAAAACTACGAAGCTCCTTGTGATCATTTTCCGAAATCGGCACATTAAACTTCTCTTTATGGAGTGGCTGACTTGAAGTTTGACCAGACTCCGTTGCCAAGAAAAAAGACACGACAGCTCTAACTGTTTTTTCCGACGAACTTTCCAAATCTCTAGTCGCTGCCATTTGCAAAAGATGCTAACGCGAAACGCTTAACTCTGTAGACACGTGTAGAGATAACAATTAGCTATATTAGCTTTATCACCATGTATCATGCTGCGCGCTTATTGTGAAATAATAATCTGTTAACTTGAGACTAGTTACATGCAGAAGCGTATCCTGCAGGCGTGACAAAAAAAAGGGCGAGTTAATACTGTATGTTTATCAATTCTGGTTTGTTTTTTTTATAAATGGATTCACGAGGATTTTGATTTTCACGTGTATTTCCGCCCGAATCACGTATCACGGTCCTCAAACAAGGCCGATCACGCGTCACGTTAGAGCAATAATTCACGGGTCACGACCAGATTTTGGCTGATTTCACGCGTCACGGGCGAATTTTTGCTCAAATCACGCGTCACGCACAACCCCTTTACCACCCTGATCGATCGACTGATCGGATCGATCTATCAGTCGCTCGATTAACGTATTGATTGATTGATTGATCGACTGATCGATTGATCGATTGATCGATTGATCGATCGATTGATTGATTGATTGATTGATTGATAATACTTTATCTACAAATAGGAATCTCAATAAAATTGTCGTTCTGTTCATGTCGGATCGCAGAATGTCACTTAAAGTATCAGCACACCCCAAAATTGACCATTTTTCAAAAAAATTGTGTTCCCCTTTTCAGATAGATCTTATGGTGTTCTTGCATTTAAAAGAATTATACGGACAAAAATTGATTCTAAGCAAAGTTATAAACGAAAAACGTTCCTTTACATTCATGGCCTCTAATTGATAAATGTCAACCGGTTGTCACGAGAAGTAAACTTGCATTAAAAAGTCGCGTGACAGAATGCGGCGTAGTTCGATTATCAAACGTGTGTGTTTGGTAGTCTACGAGCTGTTATATGTCGTCGAAGAAACGCAAAAGGTCGTGTCCCTTTGCAAATGCGAAGAAAGCACCACAGGGGAAAAAGGCCGGGGGAAAAACGTTTCAAAATCATTCGATCAGAACTGATGCGCTAGCTGCTAGTGAGAAAGGTTCCTGCTTCGAGCAGGAGAGGTTGCTTGCACTGGACGAGAAAGACGTTTGACATTCTCTAAGCATATCTCCCTTGGCGCGTTCTCCGTTCGAAACGGTAACAATAACATCTCAACTCAAACGGTTCCTCGTTGGTTTCCTTTACGTTGTTTGCGAGTGCGCTCTTTCCTTGTCTGCGGCATCTCTAAGCTAAGACGTTTTGAAAATCGGAAAGAAAAAACAAAATTGAAAATTATTTTCTTACTAACCTGGGCCGTGGTGGAATTCAGATCTTACAAAGGATGATACGAGCTCTATTGTTAAAGTAAAATGAGCCTTCACTTCTGGATCAACGCGTCATCGTTTCACACTTTCTGTGTACTTATCTCATCACACCGGAAGAACGCCCCAAAGTATATTTTCCTTCGTATCTCGAAACGAAAATTTCAGCGAGTGAAGCACGCATTTTGAGTTCGTTTCCGGCGAGTTTTCAACATTTCGTTGGAGGGAAATTTGGAGTTGGATTTGGAGAGAAATTTGGAGAGAATGTTGTCCGATAATCAGGCCAAAAAACTGTGTCGGGGAATTTTTATTTTTTTGCTTCTTTCAAACGTTATGACAATTTAAGTGAAAAGAATGCATGTTTTATCAACTCTCAAAGTTTAACTGCGTATCAAAAACAAATCAGACAAGTAATCAACACTGATTCCCGACATCGTTTTTTAGAGAAAGGTGTCAAGAAGACATAGCGATGTTAATCGCGTCCTCCCGCTCAAATCCAGTCGGAAACGAGCTTGATTAGTGAACCTCTGTATTTTGGGAAATAGGGCGCTATATTCGGCAAACCTTAATTTTAATGAATATACCTTCGAAATCTACAATGCTGAAGCTTTCAGAAAATACATACATTACTGGGGTTTGCGTCAAACGTCCGACCGTAAAGCGGCGCCAACGAATGATGCTCACTTGGAGTATATACTGATCGTCACGAGTATAGAACATTCCTACCAGGGTGGGGGAGGGGAGGGACACATACCCATGACCTTTCGC